ATAACTTGATTGGTTTCATGATGACAAGTACAGTGGACCCCCGCATAGCGAACTTAATCCGTGCAAGAGGGCTGGTCGTTATGCGAAATGTTCGCTATGCGAATTAATTTTCCCCATAAGAAATAATGGAAATAAAATTAATCCGTGCAAGACACCCAAAAGTATGAAAAAAAAATTTTTTTACCACAGAAAAATGTTAATTTTAGTACACACAAACTGAAAAAGGCATGCACAATTACATGACACTTACTTTTATTGAAGATCTGGTGATGATTGATGGGATGGGAGGAGGGGAGAGAGAGTGTTAGTGTTTAGAAGGGGAATCCCCTTCCATTAGGACTTGAGGTAGCAAGTCCTTTTCCGGGGTTACTTCCCTTCTTCTTTTAATGCTTGAGAGTCACTGGACCTCTGTCGCACAACAAATCTGTCCATAGAGCTCTGTACCTCCCGTTCCTTTACGATTTGTCTAAAATGGGCCACAACATTGTCATTGAAATAGTCACCAGCACGGCTTGCAACAGCTGTGTCAGGGTGATTTTCATCCATAAAGGTTTGCAGTTCAACCCACTGTGCACACATTTCCTTAATTTTTGAAGTAGGCACAATGGATTCCACAACTGGCATAGGCTTCTCAGGGTTAGCCCCAAACCCTTCAAAATCTTTCTTAATTTCCATACTAATTCTCACCCTTTTTACCACAGGGTTGGCACTAGAAGCTTTCTTGGGGCCCATGGTCACTTATTTTCCAGAAACAGCACCGAAAACACTGTAATAATACGAAATATTCCGAGTGTATGCTTGAATGTTACCGCGGAGGCTGGCTGGTAAACAATGGGACGGGCGGCACATATGAGGCTGGCTGAGGCCGCACATTGGACGCGTCTCGGACGAAGGTCACTGAGCGGGTTTTTGTCCACTATGCGGGGCAAATTTTTAGCGAACAAAGCGTTCGCTATGCGGATTGTTCGCTATGCAAGGCGTTTGCTATGCGGGGGTCCACTGTACCTTGAAATTGAGCGCAAAGTAGCGATAATGTTTGATTTTTGCCGATGTTGAAAAGTAAACAAATCACACCATGCATCCAATACATGTCAACTGGTGAGTCTAATACTCTTGCACAAGTGCACTGATATTATTTATACCATTTTTACAATAATGCAGTAGTATACATAACAGTAAATGTTTTTTGTTAGAATAAAAATTCAAAATGGAAAGCAAAAGTAATGTAAGAGGGGCCTAGAGATGTGACTAATGAACAGATAAAATGTTATTTTAGTGCCAGGAAAGTCTGTCTTGCTTATTCTGGATCCTATTTTGAAATTGGCATCTTTTGAAATTTGTGTGAAATTGGCAAATTGCCAAATTCTGACCGCTTTATTGGGTAGTTGAAATCAGTAAATGGGCGGTTTCTTGTACTCAAATGATAGAACAAATGGAATTCTAGTGAAATAGCTATGATTTTAGTAGACTGAAACATTGGAATTGGCCAAAAATAGGGCTCAAAGTGGCAAAATCACCAATGCCTAAATATTGTTGTTTCCGAAAACTTTGCAAGAGCATAATTCCATAAGTTTTTCATCAAATTTCATACTATCATTTCATAAGAATTTTTTTTTTTTTTTTTTCCAAAAATTTTCAAACCTGAGAATGAATTTGGGAGAGTGCCTCTCGACTCTGAAATGGCTAGATGATGGTCAACTGTAACACAAAGTGGGAGTTCTCACAGTTGCTTTTTGCTGATGACACTGTGCTTTTGTTAGATTCAGAAGTGAAACTGCAGAGGTTGGTAGATGAAATTGGTAGGTATGTAAAAGAAGGAATTGAAAGTGAACATGCAAAAGAGTAAGGTGTTGAGGATAAAAAAATTAGCTAATGAAAGATTGGATATCAGATTGGAAGGAAGGAGCGAAAGTATTCAGATACAGTGGACCCCCGCTTAACGATCACCTCCAAATGCGACCAATTATGTAAGTGTATTTATGTAAGTGCGTTTGTACGTGTATGTTTGGGGGTCTGAAATGGACTAATCTACTTCACAATATTCCTTATGGGAAAAAATTCGGTCAGTACTGGCACCTGAACATACTACTGGAATGAAAAAAGTTCGTTAACCGGGGGTCCACTGTATTTGGTAGTGGTCTAGTCAGTAGATTGGTCTATAAAAGATGAGGTGAATCATTGAACTGATGAGGGGAAAAAGGTGAGTGGTGCACTGACTAGTCTGTGGAGACAAAGAACATTATCCATGGATTTCAAGATGGGAATTCATGAAAGTATAGATATACCAACGCTCTTATGTGGGTGTGAAGTACGGGTGGTGAATGTCACAACATTGAGAAGACTGGAGGCAGTGGATATGTGTCTTGAGGGCAGTGTGCAGTGTGAATATAATTTAGAGAATTTGTAGTTTAGAAATTAGGAGGAGGTGCAAAGTTTCTAAAAGTGGGTTATTGAGGTGGTTCGGACATTGAGAGAGAATGAAATGAAATAGAATGACTTCGAGAATGTATAAATCTGTAATTAAAGAAAGGTGGGGTAAGGGTTGGCCTAGGAAAGGTTAGAGGGAGGGGTAAAGGAGGTTTTGTGCATGAGGGGTTTGCACTTTCAGCAAGCACGCATGAGCATGTTAGGAGCTAGTAGAGGCAAATGTTTTTTATGACTTGAAATGTTGCTGGAATGTGAGCAAGGTAACATTTATGAAGGGATTTAGGGAAACCGACAGACTGGACTTGAGTCCTGGAGATGGGAGGTACAATGCCTGTGCTCTGAAGGATTGGTATTGATATGTTGCAATTCTTTAACTGTAGTGAAGGCACACCTCTGTAGGATCACCTTGCCTTGGTGGAAAATGGTTGTGTTAAAAAAATATATATAATTTTTTTTTCAGGTGAGCCTGGCACCAAAAAATGGCATTTGTAGTGTCAATATTGCAGGTCATCCTGGTACAAGAGACTGGCACTTGTAGTGTGAATGATGCAGTTCATCCTGGTACAAGAGGCTGGTATGTGTAGTATCAGTACTGCATTTCATCCTGGTACAAGAAACTGGTATTTGTAGTCTCTGCACTGCAGGTCATTCTGTCCTTACTTTAGGATATTGTGGAAGAAGAAGCCAAGAAACAGTAACTTGTAGTGTCAGTATTACATGTTAACTTGGGTCAAGAGGTTGGCACATGTAGTATCAGTACTGCAGATCTTCCTGACACTTGCAGTATCAGTAATGCAGGTCATGATGGCACTTGTAGTGCCAATATCAGTGTTAACAGCGTCCTGTAAATTCTGTTATTAATATAAAGCTACAGCACTAAATACAATGATGGTAATATTATGGCAACACTAACTACATTGTTAATAATGGTGACAATAACTATAGTGAATAATACAGTGACAACACTAATTACATTTGATTATAGAGTGACAATATTGCCTACGGTGTTAATAATAAGTGACAACACAAAACTACAATGATATTAACTCAGTGACAACACTTTAGTGTAAATACAGGGACAACACTACAGTATTAATTCAGTGACATTACAGTGTTAATACAGTGACAACACCAGTATTAATATAATGACACAACAATGTTTATAATAGTGACAACAATAATTATAATGTTAATAGTCACAACACTGTAACAACAGTTTTGGTAATATAACATTTACAGTGCCAACAACAGTGCCATAAGGTTAATGTGTCATAAACCCTGAAATATCTCTTAGTGTCTTCCTTCATATTCCTCGGACACTGTATTACTTTCACAGGTTTAGTGCTTGTTATATTTATAATAAAATATTACAAATATTTTTTTCAGTGTAATAAAATATTCTACTTAAGTAATTTAATTAATGTAAGAATATTATCATTTACTGTCTCTAAATTACTTAAAAAACAATGTGTTGATGCAACACTATGTACAGTTGTTCATGAAGGAGACCAACTAAATCAACATTCACATGAAAACAAATGTGTTGAAGCAACACAATGTACAGTTTATGTAAGACACACTAAATTAACATTCACAGTAAAAACAATGTGTTGAAGCATCACAGTGTACAATTGTTAACCCTTTCACTAATGGTGACGTATTGGTACAGCTTACCAGCCAGGGTTAATGATGTACTAATACTCCAGAATTCTAGCAGCTTCAAATCTAACTGGAGAAAGCTAGTAGACCTACATGTGAGAGAATGGGTCTGCATGGTTATGTGTGCAGTATAAAAGAGATCCTTCAGGACGCAGTGCGTGAGAAAAAAAATTGTGACCATGTTTTTGGTTTAAAACGCTGACTTTGAGGTGGATTTTCATGTGGCATTGATGGTTATATTCTCGTTTTCTTGGTTGCATTTGATAGAATGGAAGATATGTTACAGAAATAGAGATGATTTTGATTGGTTTCATGATGAAAAGTACCTTGAAATTGAGCTCAATGTAGCGAAAATGTTCGATTTTTGCTGATATTCAAGAGTAAACAAATGACGTCACCATCCAATATGTGTCCAAGTGGCCAGTATAATGTGCAATCATGAATCGGTTGGCATTAATTATACAATTATTGCAATAATGCAGTAGTCTGCATAATAGTAAATCTATTTTTTGTATGAATAAAAAATTAATGTCTGTATTGTTTATTCTGGACCGTATTTTGAAATTGGTATCTTTTGAAATTTGTGAGAAATTGGCCAGACTGCCAATTTCTGACCACTTTATTGGGTAATTGAAATTGGTAAATGGGCGGTTTCTTGTACTTAGTCAATAGAACAAATGGAGTTCTAGCAAAAAACTATGAGTTTGGTCAACAGGAACAATGGAATTAGATGAAAACAGGTCTCAAAGTTGGCAAAATCGCCAATGCATAAATATCGCCGAGACTGCTAACTTCACGGGAGCATAATTCTGTAAGTTTTCCATCAAATTTCATACTTTTGGTGTCATTACCATTGTGAAAATATTCTTTATCACTTCATAAGAGAAAATAATTTTTTTTTTTAATTTTTCAACACTGAGAGCAAGTTTGTGAGCAGGGGTCTCGACAGTGAAAGGGTTAACAAAGGAGGCACATTATATCAACATTCACACTTGCTAAAACAATCTTCCTTACAACTACCTCGCTGTGTATCTCTGACAAGATTTATGATGGGCAAAATAAAAATTTGGTTTTCAGTGTGTCTAAAAGAGATTTCTCAAAAAAAGAATTTAGTTCAAAGTATGAGAACTCATACTGAAGAGAAACCATATCAGTGTTCAGGATGTTTAAAAGACTTTTCTCTTAAAAGGGATTTAGTAACACACATGAGAACTCATACTGGAGAGAAACCATATCAGTGTTCAGAATGTCTGAAGGACTTCAATCAAAAATCACATTTAGTAAGTCATATGATAATTCATTCTGGAAAGAAACTATATCAGTGTTCAGAATGTCTAAAAGATTTTAATCATGAAAAGGATTTAGTAAGACACATGAGAATGCATACTGGAGAGAAACCATACCAGTGTTCAGAATGTCAAAGAGACTTTTCTGATAAATCAAATTTAGTTCGTCACATGAGAACTCATACAGGAGAGAAACCATATCAGTGTGCACATTGTCTGAAACACTTTCCTAGTAAAAGTGATTTAGTAAGACACATGAGAACTCATACTGGAGAGAAACCATATCAGTGTCCAGAATGTCTAAGAGGCATTTCTCATAAAAGTGATTTAGTAAAGCACATTAGAACTCACACTGGAGAGAAACCATATCAATGTTCAGAATGTCTGAAGGACTTTAATCAAAAATCACATTTATTAACTCATATGAGAACTCATACTGGAGAGAAACCATATCAGTGTGCATATTGTCTGAAAGACTTTCCTAGTAAAAGTGATTTAGTAAGGCACATGAGAACTCATACTGGAGAGAAACCATATCAATGTTCAGAATGTCTGAAGGACTTTAATCGAAAATCACTTTTAGTAAGTCATATGAGTACTCATACTGGAGAGAAACCATATCAGTGTTCAGAATGTCTGAAGGACTTTCATCAAAAATCGCTTCTAGTAATTCATATGAGAACTCATACTGGAGAGAAACCGTATCAGTGTGCAGAGTGTCTGAAAGACTTTGCTAGTAAAAGGTATTTAACAAGACACATGAGAACTCATACTGGAGAGAAACCATATCAGTGTTCAGAATGTCTGAAGGACTTCAGTCAGAAATCAAGTTTAGTTCGTCACTTGAGAATTCATAATGGTGAGAAACAAAATCAGTGTGCAGAATGACTTGAATGAAAAATCAAGTATGGCCCGGTGGCCTGGTGGCTAAAGCTCCCACTTCACGCATGGAGGGCCCTTGTTCGATTCCTGGCGGGTGGAAACATTATGACATGTTTACTTACACCTGTTGTCCTGTTCACCTAGCAGCAAATGGGTACCTGGGTGTTAGTCGCCTGGTGTGGGTCGCATCCTGGGGGACAAGATTGAGGACCCCAATGGAAATAAGTTAGACAGTCCTCGATGACACACTGACTTTCTTGGGTTATCCTGGGTGGCTAACCCTCCGAGGTTAAAAATCCGAATGAAATCTTATCTTAAGGCACATGAGAAGTCATACTTGAGAGAGATCAGTGTTCAACATATTTAAAAAAGTTTTTCCATACCTCTAATTCAGTAAATAAATCATAAAAGAGTGTAGAAATCTTCTCATTTTAATTTGATTTATGCACTTCAGAAATATTATGTGAGTAAAATCTTGCCATGATCTGAAAACATTATAACATTATCTAATAAGATGTGGAAGAACTATCAGGAGAATAATTGTTTCTGTCTTTCAACTCTGTAAATGATCATGTCCCTCAAATTTATACAGTGGTACCTCAGGATATGAACTTACTTTGTTCCAGAAGGCTGTTCGAGTGCTAATACCGAACGAATTTTTTCTTATAAGGACTAATGTAAATTATATTAATCAATTTCAGACCCCCAAAAATACACTTACAAAAGCACTACATAAATACACTTACACAATTGTTTGTGTTTTGAGCTGTTCGTATCCTGAGGTACCACTGTATTTCCTGTTCATGCAAGTTTTGATTTATAAAAGTTTGTTTCCTCATGTGCACTTCAACTACAGTGCTAGTCATAGCATTATTCCGCCCCTCCCCCACACTTGTACCAAAACACAAACACTTACCTTGAAAGATTATAATATAGTGGAACCTAGACTTAGGAGTGTCCAGTGTATGAGTTGTTTGAGATACGAGTTGTCCCTGGGTCGATTTTTTGCTTGCCGTTACGTGTCAACTCCCTCTTGCTTCCCCTTCAATCCAAAACCTGGATCTCTCTCTTGTTTATCTATGATTTCATGCTTTAATTCCATGGAAATCATCCTTTTTTCTTTTCAGCACTGTCCTTTGCACTTAATTTCTTAGGACTCATGGTTAGAAAAGCGAAATTTGGCCAAATGACCATCAAAAATGTAAGCAAATCGGGAAATAACTGCTCCCACAGCTAGGTAAACAGTGCACCAAGTTGGTTTCATTCTGAATCTCTTGTTGTTATTATTATTATTGTTATAATTATTATTTTTTATAATTTAGGGAACTGAAGCCCCTCACCAGCATCAAGGTTCCTTGACACTGGTGAGGGGCTCATGATCTGGGAATTGGATATGTGCTCTAGTTCTCTAAGTTAATAATAATAATTTTATAAATAATAATTATAATAATAATAGAGCTTCAATTCCCTAAATTATTATCAGTAATAATTATTAAAATTATGTATGTATTATGTATGTAATACGTACGTAATAATAATTAAGAATGCGGCCTCTAGTTACCGTAGCTGAATCCGAAACATCCGGTAAGCAGTACACATGTTTACATAGCCGTGGAAGCAGTTCTCTCCTGCTTTGCTTACATTTGGCCAAATTTTGCTTTTCTAAAATAAGAGCAAAGGACAGTGCCGAGAAGAAAAAGATGATTTCAACAGAATTAAAGAATGAAATCATAGATAAACATAAGCAAGGTGCACAAGTTGTGGATTTAGCCAGAAAATACCAGCGAAGTACATCTACTATATGTATGATACTAAAGCAGCAGGAGTCAATAAGAGCTATAGCGCCAGCCAAGGGTGTTACAATAATATCTAAACTGCGGACCTCTGTCCATGAAAAGATGGAGAAGCTGATGCTGCTAATGTGGTTGAGTGAGAAGCATCTCGCAGGAGATTCTGTGACTGAGGGGGGGGGGTCCCCTCAAGGAAGGTTCCTTGATGTTGGTGAGGGGCTCTTGATTTAGGGAATTGGATCTGTGCTCCAGTTCCCCGAATTAAGCCTGAATGCCTTCCACATCCCCCCCCCCAGGCGCTGTATAATCCTCCGGGTTTAGCGCTTCCCCCTTGATTATAATAATAATAATAATGTGACTGAGGGCTATCATTTGCAAGAAGGCACGAGGCATTCACACTGATTTGTTGCAGCAGATCCCAGGCACTTCAATGGACAAGTCATTTAAAGCCAGTCGAGGTTGGTTTGACAATTTTAAAAGGAGGGCCAGCATTCATTCTTTCATCAAGTGGCGTTCCACAGGGATCAGCCGTGGGCCCGTTGTTGTTTATAATATACAGTGGACCCCCGCTTAACGATCACCTCCAAATGCGACCAATTATGTAAGTGTATTTATGTAAGTGCGTTTGTACGTGTATGTTTGGGGGTCTGAAATGGACTAATCTACTTCACAATATTCCTTATGGGAAAAAATTCGGTCAGTACTGGCACCTGAACATACTTCTGGAATGAAAAAAGTTCGTTAACCGGGGGTCCACTGTATATCAATGATCTTGATGAGGGAATTACAAGTGATATGAGCAAATTCGCCGATGGCACAAAGATAGGATAATTGATTCAAACGTAGATATCAGGGAACTTCAGGAGGATTTAGACAAACTCGATATCTGGTCAGAAAAGTGGCAGATGCAGTTCACTGTAGATAAATGCAAGGTTCTGAAGCTCAGGAGTGTGCATAACTTATAAGCTAACCCATAAACGGTCCAGGCAGATCTACGTTCACATGTGTAGTGCTACAAAAGTAGATCTACGCTTTTTTTACACATTTTCAAATGTAAAAAAACAAAAAGAAGATCTACGTTTTTTACATACTTTCAAATGTTGAAAAAACGTATATATACGTTTGGACCATTTACGGGTTAAATAATGTAGAACTTAGCCATACAGATTGCAAAAAGGACTTGGGGGTTATGATAAGCAGTAACCTTAAACCAAGACAGCAATGCCTAAGCGTATGTAATAAGGCAAACAGATTACTGGGATATATATCAAGAAGTGTAAGCAACAGAAGTTCAGAGGTTATATTACAGCTTTATACATCATTAGTAAGGCCTCACATAGATTATGTAGCTCAGATTTGGTCTCTGTATTACAGAATGGACATAAAGTCATTAGAAAACATTTAGTGTAGAATGACTAAATTAATACATAGCATTTGAAATCTTCCATATAAAGAAAGATTGAAGACCCTTAAATTACATTCACTTGTTAGATGAAGAATGAGGGGAGACACGATCGAAGTGGAAGATGGGTTTCAATAAAAGGGGTATAAATAAGGTCTTATAGGTAGTAGGTTGGTAGACAACAACCTGGGTACCCAGGGAGGTACTACCGTCCTGCCATGTGAGTGTAAACCGAAAGCTTGTAATTATTTTACATGATGGTAGGATTGCTGGTGTGTTTTTGTCTGTCTCATAAATATGCAAGATTACAGGTATGTCTTGCAACTTCTACTTACACTTAGGTCACACTACACATACATGTACAAGCATATATATACAAACCCCTCTGGGTTTTCTTCCTCTTCAAGGGGGGCTCCTTGTCGTGGTGAAGAGGCTCTTGGTCTGAGGAATTAGACCTGTCCATCTCCTTCCTCACACCGAACCTAATACCCCCCAATCCCCCCTTCCCTATCCCATCCTCCCCTTTTCCCTTTCCTCCTCCTCCTCCCCACCCCTCCCTTTTGCCCTTCCTCTTTTTGGCCTTTGGGATTTTTCCCACAGGCACGCTAGTTCCTAGGTAGGGGAAAGGGTACCGGGGTCCATCCCATTCCGTTGAGGTTCTTGGCAGTGGCGTAGTTTGCCATGGAATCTGGATCGCCTGGGGATGTCCCGATCCCTCTCTGATATCCCAGAGAGTGGCTTTGGGTGTCTTTCGGGCGACGGTTGTATCTCTGGAAGCCACCTTTTGGGTTCCGGGGGTGGTGGCCGAAGGAGGTATGCTTTGTGGCAGATATCCGGCCACCCTCTCTTTTGTCCACTGAGGTAGCTCGGCAGATGTGAGGTTGCTGTCCTGGATTGCTGGTTTACTGGCATGAAGGTTAGGGTATGGCACGGGTTCCATGCTGCATCTGCGCTACTAGCGGTGCTGAGGTCCTCTTGGGCATGGAGGGATATTTCCGGCCCTTTCATTCCTCCTGGGAACTATTCCTCCCAGCTCTCCCCTTTTTTTATTCTTTTTTTTATTTTTATTTTCTTTTCTTTTTTTTTCTTAAAAACAAAAAGCAAAGGAGTAACCTAACCATGGAGAACCCAATCCATGAACCCACTACCCCCGGGCCCCTTCTTGATACCGCACCCCATTCTGACCCTGCCTTGTTTTTTGACCACTCTTCAGACACTCTTGATGCCCTTGTACCTCTTGCTGGTGCTGTTTCCTCACCCACTTCAGGTACCGGGGCTTCGACTGACTCCTTTGATTTGTCTGACCGCCGCTCTCCTTTGACTATGCTTCTGGCCTCTCCCTCTACGGTACGGCAATTTTTGAATCGCCAGCCATTTTCACGACGGACCAACTCCGGTCCTACTCCTAAACGCCAATGACAATCTTCTGATGATGTTCCTTCGCTACCTTCCCATTCTACTCGGAAAAGACCGACACGTCATGCACTTCTCCATGCTCAGTTTCGGACCACACAATGGACTAAATTCTTTACTTTAAGACCGACTTCTTCTTCTGCCTATCTTTCTGACCATAGTATTGGCAAAGCGCTCCTGCGCCATGTTGGTAGAGATATTTCATTTCATGCTCTCAAGAGAGGTACGCGCATCGTCACTGTCCAGAATGCTACCCAAGCTCATGATCTTTCTCTCCTTTCGCATATCGATACTACTCCTATCACTATTGAAAAACATCTTTCTCTCAATTCTTGTAGTGGTACTGTCATTCTGCCCCATACCATAGTCCAACAGAATTTCCATTCATGTGGCAATGACATTCTTGAACAGCTGGAACTCCAGGATCTCCCAATCCTCAAAGTAGACACTTATGTCCTTCCTGCCCGCGGGTTGAGACGTTAACCTTGCAATGTGGCTCGATTAACTTTCGACAGCCGTGAACTCCCATCCTCTGTTTATGTCGCGGGACATCGGTTACAAGTTTGAAAGGTGATCCCTACACCACAACAGTGTAGAAATTGCTGGCGTTTTGGTCACCCAGCGAAATATTACAGATTTATAGCCGAATGCCCAGTCTGTGGTGCCGACGACCATTCTAATACATCTTGCAGTCAACCTCCATCTTGCCTTAATTGTAATGAGGCTCACCCTTCGTACTCTCGCCATTGCCAGGTCTATACACAAATAACCTGCACATAAAAGAGAGAAGCTTACGACGACGTTTCGGTCCGACTT